AATAAGACAATGCTACTCAGATGTAAGATTTCAAATCTTGGTCTACAATACTGTAGTGCCCACCTACAGCTGAGGGAGGTAACTCACTATTATTCCAGCCTTAAAAATTAAATGATGGCTAAATTTGTTTTCTCTCCCTATCTAGACACCTTTGAGAGGTAACTGACACTGATTCTAGCCACTCCAACGGCTATCAAAATGCCTGAAAAGAAATCCTGAGTCCATCACTCTCGAGTTTAGTCCTGGCAAAAGAAAAAAATGAAAAAGAGCTATTACCTTGGTGCTAACCATTGCTCCTTACCTCTTCAGATATTTTCAGGACCAAATCCAAAAACTAACTGTTACTAATTTTAATCAGTTGTTACTTTCCTTCCCTCCACATGTATACAAGCACCTGTCAACCATCAAGGACCCTGTTGAAATACATGAAGAGGGAACCCTGGCTGTCTGACCACCCCCTAATCCAGCTCCCCACCCCGACGTCGACCCTGTCCAGGAAGAAGTAGCAAGACAACAGCGCCCCTTATCCTATAACACGAAAGGCTGGAATGTTAAGGTTCAGATAGCCCTGTTCCCTCACCAACAGGATCCCAAGGACTTCTCATGCTCCTGAGAAAAGGGAACCTAGCTGATAAGCACCTTGGTCCTTGAAGTCAAGAGAAGCAGACTTTTCTCCACTGTTTGGCCAACACAGCAGGCTTCCCCTTTGATCTCTAAAGAGGACAGGTTTTAACAGTCCTGCTCTCCCACTCCCCCCCCTCCAACTTTAAAAAAAATACATATTTCCGCCTTCTGCAGGAGGCAGAAGCCTCCCTTTTAAAAAAACCCAGCTCAAGACCCGGGCAGACATTTTCCCTGCCCAGAAGGGAATCTGTCCCATGTGTGCCTTTGCTGATAAACCCTATTTTGATGGAGTTTTAGCTGTGCCTCGGTGCCTCATCATCCATTCGCTTGTTCTCCACCAACTTTTTACCTATCAACGGGATGGCAAGATGGCTCAGCAGGTGAAAGCACTTGCAACACAAGCCTGGCAAGCAACACCCCCCACCCCCCCAGCCCTGACAAAACATGAATAGGAAATCACATTGGTCAGACATCTATGACTTCGATATAATAAATCCTGAGCTGCTTCTCTGTTTTGCCATAAAGAGCTCTTACATTCTGTACACCAGCGTGCACAGACGGCAGTAGAAACTACTGCTGTGGCTGGGAAAAAGAACATGGAGTGTCCAAGTCTGAGTCACATGGCTCAGGTGCTGCATCTATTGCCTACCAGCAGGAACCTCATCAAGTTCTCTAACATGTTCCATACACTGTCAGTGTGAAAATTAAATACAAAGCACCCAACACAAAGCCTGGCATTTAGCCACACTCAGTGAGTGTGAATTATCTCCTTTCTTCTCTGATCCTGTTGCACAGAAGCAGTGACAGAACTGAAGCTGGTACTATTGGTATCTACGCACTGCTGCCTTCCTAGCAGCAGCAGTGCCAGCAGAGGGAGCACTTCCCTGCAGGAAAGTTCTGGGTCTAGGCAGGGCATTGGGGAAATTTACTTGGATTATATTATTATTTTTAATTAACACTTATGGGCTTTTCTGTTTGCAAAATATCAAATGAAAAATTTATAAATAGACAAATAAAAAGATTAGAAACCATCCAAAATTCTAGCATCACAATAACCGTGGCTAACATTTTTGTGTAAAAAACACAGTTTTTTAAAGAAATGAGCTGAGCATGGTGGTGAATGCCTTTAGTCCCAGCACTTGGGAGACAGAGACAGGCAAATGTCTGTGAGATTGAGGCCAACCTGATCTCCATTAGCAAGCTGGGGCTGTAGGCATGTAGGCAGACCCTGTTTAAAAGCCAAACAAAAAAAAAACGAAAGAAAGAAAGAAAGAAAGAAAGAAAGAAAGAGGGAGAGAGAGAAAGAAGGACGGGAGGGAGGGAGGAGGGGAGGGGAGAGGAGAGAAGAAATTAGTCTCTGTGTTCTGTATATCATGTGGTCACCTCCTTTCTCACATCAGACTCCACTCTGCTTCCTGTCTGCTGTGACATGAAGTACTCCTCTCCCACCCCCACCTACTACCATTTTATGTCATCAAGATTTCTTCTACAGAGACTAGAGATGTGGCTCAATGATTAAGAGCACTGGCACTGGCTACTCTTGCAGAGGACCCAGGTTCAGTTCCCAGCACCCACATGGCAGCTAACAACAGTCCACAATTGCAGTTCGACACCCTCTTCTGGACTCTGATCAACACTACATATGTGTGGTACACATACATGCAGGCAAAACACTCGTATACATTTAAATAAATAAATAAATAATTTTTGTTAGAGTTCTACAACATCACAGGGTTTAGTGATAGATTTAGTGTAGCCCAGACTGGTTCTGAATTCACTATGTAGCCAAGGATGACCCTGAACTTCTGATCCTCCTGTCTCTGCCACCTGAGTGCTGAGATTATAGGTATATGCTACCACATCCAGTTATGTGGTATGGGGCAGAAACCAAAGGCTTTATGCACAATAGGCAAACATCCTACTAAGCTAAGTCCCCAGCCCCTACATTACTTTTAAATATTTGTCCTGTATTAACCAAAATTTGTAATTACTAATACAATTTCAATGGACATTCTCATAAATCTCTGTATATAGAAATTTATGCGGGCCACCTGTAGCTTCTGGGGCAGAGACAAGAAGAACTCGAAGGCTTTGCACACAGTGCCAACTTCCTCCTGATTCATACAGGCCTCCCAGAGCCTCCAGACCTGGGGTCTATTTCATTCAGGTCCAAATTGAGTGTCTTCCACTGGGGAAAGAAAAAGAACCACAAAAAATTACATAAATTCCTTCAGATAGGTTCTGGGTCCAAGTCTACATATATTATTAAAAAAAAAAACTTATTATGGGTCTGAAGAGATGGCTCAGTGGCTGAAAGCACTGAGTGCTCCTGAAGAAGAGTAGGTTCAGTTCCCAGCACCCACATGGTGCCTAACAACCACCTGGAACCCCTCTTCTGATCTCCACAGGCACTAGACCCATGTGGTGCACTTATATACACACAGGAAAAAACTCATATGCATAAAATACACATAAATACTTTTTAAACTTTTATTATTTGTGCGTGTGCTCACTCTGTACAGAGGCCAGAGGACAACATGTGGTAGTCAGTTCTCTCCTTCCACCATATGGGTCCTGGGGATTGAACTCAGGATGTCAGCCTTGACAGAAAGTACCTTTACCCACTGAGCCATCTTACTAGCCCCATATATTTAGAACTATGAAAATGAAATCACATTGCCCTCCAGAAAGATTATGTCAAGGTATATTTCCAGAGATCACTCTTGTAATCTCGAGTTGGGGAATGATTTTGACTTCATAAATGTATTCATCAAATACATGTTACTGGATGGCTGTGTGGCTATTGGTCTCTCTCACTGGGACCCTCCTTCAGAATCCACTGGCACGTACATCTGATCTTGGCCACACCCCATCCCCAAACATTGCCAAGTTCCTGACACCTGCCTCAGCTGCTATACTGAAAACTAACACAGGAGTGCTCTTTAAATGTGAGACCTTCCTTGCAGTGTCCTGAAAAGTCATCCCAGCTGACCAGTCCCTGAGCAGCCTGACATCCGTTCCTTCAGCCTCTGAGGAGTGAGCGACCATGGCCTGTAGTGTCCATGGGAGAGTCCAGCTTGGAGGTGTGGTCCTCTCTCTCCTTGGCTGGGTGTGCTCATGTGTCACCACCATCCTGCCCCCGTGGAAGACTCTCAATTTGGACCTGAATGAAATGGAGACCTGGGTCTCGGGGCTCTGGGAGGCCTGTGTGAATCAGGACGAAGTTGGCACTGTGTGCAAAGCCTTCGAGTCCTTCTTGTCTCTGCCCCAGGAGCTACAGGTAGCCCGCATCCTCATGGTGACCTCCAATGGACTGGGACTACTGGGGTTTCTGCTCTCTGGCTGTGGGTCAGAATGCTTCCAGTTTCACAGGACCAGAGGTAAATTCAAGAGGTGGTTGTGCCTCCTGGGAGGGACTTTGGAGGCATTGGCTTCAGCCACTACCCTCTTTTCGGTCTCCTGGGTGGCCTATGCCACATTCCAAGACTTCTGGGATGACAATGTCCCTGAGATTGTACCTCGCTGGGAGTTTGGAGATGCCCTGTTCCTGGGCTGGGCTGCTGGACTCTTCCTAGCACTGGGTGGACTTCTCATTTTCTCTGCCTGCCTAGAAAATGAAGATGTGCGTTCTCCCTCGATGGCTCATCCCAAAGCCCCACCAGCCTGTGCCCCAGGGGAGGAATTTGATAGCTCTGTTCACCTCACACCGGGACCAGTCAACCTAGTCATGTAGGACCTGCATCTGTCCAGGAACCACTACAATAAAGCAATGTCAGTAGAATCTGTTCTCTTCCTTAATCTTCATCACTTTGTTGTGGAGGAGTGGTCACTCCCATTTAACAAAGATTTGATTACCTTGGAGGTCTGGGAATCTTCAGTTGGGAATTAAAAATCAGGGCATAGTGTTTTATAGACATGTTTATCTCACTTGAAATTGTATTTATATAGAAATCCTTTTGGGGATGGAGAGATGACTGGTTAAGAGCACCAGCTGCTCTTGCAGAGTACCTGGGTTTGACCCCAGCACCCACAAGGCAGCTAACAACTGTCCATAACTCTAGTTCCAGGAATTCGAAGCCACCTCTGACTCTGCAGACATTGCACAACATGGGTGCACTTACACACACGCAGGCAATACACTCATACACATAAAATAAAAATAAATTTTCAAAAAGGTATGTTTTTAGCTGGCCATAGTGCAGGCTTATAATCCCAGCACTTGAGAGGCTAAGACAAAAGAATCGAGGATTCAAGGCCAACCTGGGCTGAAGTGAGACCCTGCCTCAAATTACCAGAAAAGGAAAAAAAGCTGAGCATGGTGACTTACTCTAGTAATACCAATATTCATGAGGCTGAGGCAGGAGGATTGCTGTGAGTTTGAGGTCAGTCTAGGTAAAAACACTTGGAAAAAAATTCTTACAACATAGTTATTTTTGTTTTATTTTATCACTAAGAAAAATATTTTACAAAGTTATAACCATCAGATATGATCACCTAGTGTGAAGAGGTATTGAGTGTGTAGCTAGAGAAGTTGATAAAGTTGTATGGTAAAGGGAAGTGACCTATTGGCCCATAACAGCCCCTAGGACAGGACTCCCCATCCCCAATGAGCAGTTTGAAGGGGATTCATAATAATCTGTTTTGTAGATCCCCAGTACCACAGAGGGGAGATCTGTTCTTGTTTCTGCTGTGTTATGAGGCTATGAATGGTCTGCTGATGCTTCTCATTCAGTAGAGGTCACTGTGAGTGGATCTGCCCAGGACTCAGTACTTGCATTGCTAAAACTAGCAAAGTCTCAGACATACTGGGGAAACTTGGTTACCCTAGGAAGGTTGTGCCTATTACCACCCAATGTGGGCTAGGGCCTGTGTATGCAAAAAATTCTCAGCTCCAAAAAAAAATGGCTTTTACCATATGCAAAAGAATCCATTATAAACCCTTTCTTTAGGGAACAGATTGTAACTCAGTTGGCAGAGTGCTGGCCTAGTATGCAGGAAGACCTGGGTTTGAGTCCTAGCACTACATAAAACCAGGTATGGTGTTGTCATGCCAGCACTTGGGAGATGGAGGCAGGAGAATCAGAAGTTCAAGGTCATTCTCAAATATATAGTGAATTCAAGGCCAACGTGAGCTACATGATAACTTGCCTCATAAATAGATAAATTAAATAAATAAATAAGTTGAAAAAATAAATCCTCCGTTATTATCATCACCATCATTATCATTATTTTGTTTTTTTGAGGCAGAGTCTCATTCTGTAGCCCAGACTGGGTTGGAACTCACTAGGTAGCCTAGGCTGGTTTCAAACTCTTTCTTCCTCAGCCTCCTAAGTACTGAGACTACAGGCATACACTACCATGTCCAGCTATAAACCCCTTAATTTTTTTTTTTTTTTTTTTTGGTCTTTTTGAGACAGGGTCTCCCTGTAGCCCCAGCTGTCCTGGAACTCACTATGTAGACCAGGCTGGCCTCGAACTCACAAAGATCTGCCTGCCTCTGCCTCCTAAAGGCGTGCGCCACCATGCCCAGCCTAAACCCCTTAAATTTTAACCCAGGTATCAACAGGTTACAAATGAAATCCCTTTCATAACAATAGCCCCAGCTGCTTTGCCTGCCTCTTCTGTACTGACAGGCTCTCTGCTTGACTCCCCATCCTAAATTCTATAGGAAAAACCTTGATTACCAGCTCAGCTAAGAGGCCTCCCAGTACCTCTCAGCTTTCAACAAAACAACCCAGCATCATAAGACAGTTACTGTTCAAGCAAGAATAACACACACATCAACACAATCAAAACAGATACAGGGCTGGGAATGTGGTCCAGGGTTAAAGCATCTGCTTAGCATGCAGGAGACCCTGGACTTAATCTCCAGTACTACAGAACAAACAGATTTGGCAAAATAGCCCATGCCAGCACCCTCCTTTGAAAGGCCATTTACCCCTAAGGAAATGGAATCTGCACAAATACACCTTCATATTCAACTTTGGTCTTCCTACCCAAAACCTCCACGAAGGTCTTTTAAATCCTGTGCTCATCTATGTATTCACTAACAAATACAGACCCAAACACCCCAAGGGAGACTTACCAATAGACACAGAGTCTATACATCAAGGCTTCTTCCCACCTTAGTCAACTTTCTGATGACTTTTTCAGCTACTTTCTTTCTCAAAGGTTCAAAGTTTGGTGGGCCAAGTATCAGTAGGGGTGAGTCCAAATAGCCAAACTCTCCTGTCCCTACAGTGTCTGCTGTGTGGAACCACCATTCATCCATCCCATTATTTATCCTCTCATTTACAGATATTATCTCATTAACAGATATTATCAAGTGCTTACTATGTGCCAGGTACTGACTGTGCTAGAAACCAACGATAAAACACTAACACAAAATTTATCCCAGCTCCTTATTCAGGCAATTAAGGATACAGACATTCATGTAAAACTACTCAAATTAATGTAACATGACACAATTTCAGGTTCATGTAGTAGGACAAAAGTGATGTAGTCAGAATCTTGGCTGGGTACCCTGAGAAAGTAGTAATTGTTTTTGGTTTTTTTTTGTCTTTTTGAAGTAGGGTCTCCCTGTAGCCCCAGCTGTCCTAGAACTCACTATGTAGACCAAGCTGGCCTTGAACTCAAAGATCCACCTGCCTCTACCTCCCAAGTGCTGGGACTATAGGTGTGTACCACCACACCAGGTGTAAGTATTAATTGTTAAAAGACTAAGAGTGGAGAGCAGTTCCAGATGAAGAGGGAAAAAGAAAATGTTTGAGGCGAAGAGACTGATGAAGGAAGGAGCCAGACCTTGTAGCACCCTGGTAGTCATGGTAAAGACTGTCGCCTCTGTTCTCAGCTCTGCCTACTGCAGCAGTAACTTGTTTACCCTTTCCTAAGGGCTGGGTAGGGCTTAACAGCTTTCAATATACCTTCACATTCTTGGTAGTTTTATGTAGCATATCTCGAAAGGCTTTTCACAACAGGGAGAGCAGATATTCCTGCATTCATTTTGCTAATGAGAAATCTGAGATTCAAGGACCTGAAGTATCATGCTGGGGGTGGGGGGTAGCAATAGGCTTAGTCAAGACTTGAACCCAGGATTGTAATGCTAGGGCTGCCTTTCTGCTGCTTCTTGGGATGGACCTTTTCGGATCATCGGAAAAGCTAGCACGGACACAGAAGGAATCACAAAGGCCCACAGAGAAAAATTCTTTGAGCTCATGTTTAGGCCCAATCAGGGTCTTTGCTGACAGCTGGCTCACCTGTGCCTGCTGGTGGCTTGTAGCCCTCATCTTAATCCCAGGTTTGCAGGTGTTGACATGTTTTATCAGCAACTGATTATGGCTTTCACTGCAAAGATTTGTTAGGAAAATATTGTCTCTTCAACTCTCCTTGTAAACGACACACTTTTTTTAACAGGCAATGGACAGGCAGGGACTGTTGCTTTACAAGTTGCCTATGAACAGCATGTTCTCTCTAGGAGGGGATGTGACCTGCATTCTGGGGACAAGCTACTTCCAGACAGCCTCAAGATGCTGTTCACCTAAAAATGCCATTATTTTTTACCTACCTGCTTTGAAGAGGTGAGAATTAAAAATAGAATCATTTTCTAAAGGCTTACTTGATTTTTAATTATACATATGTGTGTGTATGAGTGTGTGGGATGTATGTGTATGGGTATGCAATGCCTGCAGAGACCATAGGTGTCAATTCCCTAGAGCTGGAGCTGTATGTAGTAGTGAGTCACCCTATGTGAGTTCTGGGACCTGAACTCAGGTCCTCTGGAAGAACAGCAAGTGCTCTTAACTATTGAACCATCTCTCCAGCCCCTGGAACAAATTAAATTTAACATGGACTTTTCTCTCTTTTTCATGTTTTTTTAACTGAACTTTTGTATATTTCATACAAAACATCTTAATCATCTTTATGCCCCTTCCCCCATCCACACCCTCCCATAGCCCCCACACACACACTGGACTTCATGCATTCTGTCATTTGTGTTAAGACCTATCGAGCCAAGTTAGTGTCCCCAGATGTCCCTCAGTGCAAGTTCATCCACTGAGGTCTAGTCAGTCTATCTAGAGACACTCCCTTAAAGAAGATTAGTTTTCCCTCACCCAGCAGTAATTATTTGTTAATAGTTCTTTGGCTAAGATTGGGGCTTGTTGCCCATTTCCCTAGTTCTGTGCTGGGTTTTTGTCTGCTTGAGTTTGCATGTGTCTTGTGCATGCTGACACCATTGCTGTAAGTTCATCTGAGAAAGGTTCCAGGAGTCTGTAAGACTCTTGTTTCCATATGGTCATGTACTTCCTCCCTTGGCTCTTACAATCTTTCTGCCTCATCTTCTGCAATGGTCCCTGAGCCCTGGGTGGGTGAAGTTTAAGATAGGAGTCCTCTCCAGGAACCTACACTCCGCAGACTACTATTCTCTACACTTTGACCAATTGTGTCCTTTTGTATTCATGTCTCTCCGTCGCACGAGGGAGCTTTGCTGATAAGTTGAGAGATACATTAGTATTCTCTCTACCGCTTGTTTCACTATGCTCTGTGAGTCTTGGGTGAAGAGGTTCCATTGTAGATGTGTCATTTAGAGTTAGGCATTTCACAGCTACTTATTCTGTGTGTGACCAGTTGTGGAACTCTGTAAGAGTCTCCATCTGTTGCAAAATAAGCTTTCTTTGATGAGTGGTGACTGGCATACTTGTCTATAAATATAAGGATTCATATTTAGCATATAGT